ACGCGGCTGCTCCTAATGCTCTGCTTGTGAACCCTGCTTTGTGAATTAAATTGGCACCGAGGCTGACAGCTTCAGGGGAGAGTTTGTAGAGAATGCTGGGTTGTGAGGACGGCTCACGGCTAGATTCACAGATCTAGTTTTCCTAAACCCGGTCCCTTACATCTGTCTGCACGGAAGCTCACTGTGTTTTGTGGCCACTCACGTTGCCTAGAGTAGAGGCCTTCAGCCTCGCGTTCATATCGGAATCACTGGCTCCATTTCTGTGTAACTGGCCCCAGGGGGTCAGTGTTTCCAAAGATCCTTGAGTAATTCTACCATGCAACCCGGGCTGAAATCCACTGGTCTACAGCAGAGGTCAGTGGACTTTTTCTTTAAAGAGCCAGATAGTAAATATTTTATGCCTTGAGTGTCAGATAGTCTCTGTTGCAACTAATCAGCCAACTTAGCAGCCGTAGGTCCGTGGGCCGCGTTGCGTTCCAGTAACTTTATTTCTGAACACCAAGATTGAATTCATGTAATTTTCATTTCATGAAATATTCTTCTTCTTTTGATGTTTTTTTCAACTATTTGAATATGTAAAAACCTTTCTCAACTTGCAGGATGCACAGTAACAGGTGGTCAATGGGGTTTGGCCGGTGGGCTCACGGTTTGACGACCCCTGGCTAGTAGTTTACCTGCTTCGCTGTTTTAGTTTGGTTCCATAAGAGAGAATGTTTCCTCCCTAGATCTCTGATAACATCTTCATGGGTCCTCAAATTGAATACTTATTTTAAACGCATCTTACCAGGACAGATGCAGGTGTTTCCTAACAGCCTTAGAGACTGTAGCACTTGGGATGCTTCTGTCTACAAGTAACAAGCCTGGCTGAAACGGCTTAAAGCAGTAGGAAAGGTATTCGCTCATTAAAATGTAGACCGTTGCAGCGTTAATTCAGCTGCTCCACAATGTCATTAGCCCAGCTGTTTCTCATCTTTCTACTCCACTAGCCTCAATACTAGTCCTGGCTGATGTCTTGCCTCACAGTTGCAAGATGGCTGTAGCAGCCCCAGGCATCACGTGCAGACACATAACATCCAGCAAAGAGGCAGAGTATTTTCCTCCATGTACTTATTTTTAATACGAGGCAAGCTTTTTCAGAACAAGCCTCTCCTCCTGTGTAGCTCTCTCCCTTTACGTCTTGAAGGACAAATCAGAGTCCGGTGAGCAAGGAAGAGGAGGAGAAGGCAGCTGGGGGTTCCGCCAAGGGTGGCACAGAGCTAGATTCTTAGGATAAAAAAATCTGAAGAAGGCTGCCGGCTGAGCGTTCATTTCCATTTGTTTGTTTGCTTCCCTGAAAGATTGTTAGGGAGTTGCCCAGTACAATTTTCGTGAAAGAAGTTTTACTGATTTTCACTCAAATAGGTTATATTTTGCTTCAGTCTTCAAAGATACTGTTATTTCTATCAGATTACATTTAAAAAGAAATGTATTCTCTTTTGGCTTATTTTGTTATTTTTCTAAAACTGTACCACCTTGTATATCTATCATAAAGATGTTCATGTAAAAAAAGATTAAAAAAGCTACCATTTTTGTTCATTTTGAACCATCAAAGGGTTGACTAGTTTGCATTTTGTATTGTGAAAACAACAAAAATAGAAAGTCGTATACCTGATAAGGGGCCAATCTCCAAAATATATAAAGAACTCACACAACTCAACAGCAAAAAGAAAATGAACAATTTGATTAAAAAATGGGCAGAAGATCTGAATGGACCTTTTCCCAGAAAAGACATACAGATGGCCAACAGGGACACGAAAAGATGCTCAACATCACTGATCATCAGGGAAACGCAAGTCAAAACCACGATGAGATATCACTTCACACCTGTTAGAATGTCTATTATCAAAAACAAGAGATAACAAGTGTTGGTGAGGATGTGGAGAAAAGGGAACCCTTGTGCTCTGTTTGTGGGCATGTAAATTGGCGCAGCCACTATGGAAAACAGCATGCAGCTTCCTCAAGAAGTTAAAATAGAACTACCATATGATCCAGCAATTCCACTCATAGGTATTTGTCTGAATAAAACAAAAACACCAACTCAAAGATACCTGTGCCCCTGTGTTCATTGCAGCATTATGCACAACAGCCAAGACTTGGAAACAACCTGGGTGCCCATCGACGGATGAATGGATAAAGAAGATGTGGTGTATATATCCACACAGACAGACAGACAGACAGACACACACACACACACACACACACACACACACACACACAGTGGAATATTATTCAGCCATAAAAAAGAATGAAATCTTGCCATTTGCAACAACATAGATGGACCTCGAGGGCATTGTGCTAAGTGAAAAAAGTCAGACAGAGAAAGACAAATACTGTATGATCTCTCTTATATGCGGAATCTTAAAATAAAAAGTGAGCTCATAGGTACAGAGGACAGATTGGTGGTTGCCAGAGGTGAGGTGTGGGGGTGGCCAAAATGAGTGAAGGGAGTTAAAAGGTAAAAAATAAATAAATACAGTGGATTACTGAGCAACAACAACAACAAAAAAGCAATTGTTAAAAAAAAAAGTACTTGCCATGTATAAGTCCAGAAAGTCTTGTTCAGTGCAGTTACATTTCATGAACAGACCATTATGTCATAAATTATAATGCTATACCAACTTGAGTATTGCACTTTATTCTAGCTTTGTCTGTCTTTTTGTTCAAAAAAGTATGTGAAAAATATACAAACACGAACATTTTCAGCAATTTTATAAAGACAGTGATGCTGCAGAAACTAAAATATACTGACACTTGAATAACAATAACACACAATTTTTTATTTTTTATTTTTTTTTTGAGGAAGATTAGCCCTGAGCTAACTGCTACCAATCCTCCTCTTTTTGTTGAGGAAGACTGGCCCTGAGCTAACATCCATGCGCATCTTCCTCTGCTTTATATGTGGGACGCCTACCACAGCATGGCTTGCCCAGCAGTGCCATGTGCGCACCCGGGATCTGAACCAGAGAACCCCAGGCCACCGAAGCAGAACGTGTGCACTTAACTGCTGTGCCACCAGGCCGGCTCCAACACACACTTTTAAAAAATACTCACTTTGAACTTTTTATCACCATCGTTGAAACTGAGGAGTATTTAAAATCATAAAATAAACTACCAATTGTAGAGAAGAAATTCATTTTAAATAGCAATGTATGATTCTGATAAATTTATCTTTAAAACGTAAGATGTTATAGTAAATAATTTTATAGAAATAAACTGATATGTGATTCAATATCAACATCCAAAGCTGGTGTTGACCTCCATGTAAACTGTTTCATTTTAGGAAATTATAAGCCACAGTGCAAAATGTATGTACTATTTCGCTTGTTTAAAAATATATTTTTTTAAGTATAGAGAAATAGAACACATAGTAAACAAACCATGCTTCTTGTGTCCTGGTATCTTCTCAGATTGCTTATCCAAAGGGAAGTAGATATTTACACAATTACCTTATGCGTAGGTCTAAAGTCTGTGAATCGATGTGGCGGGCAGTCGCAGAGTCACATTCTGAGGTGTCGGACAACTGCCAGATGTTGACGGGGGTGTCTGGGTTGAGGGGGAAACTAACTTTATAAAGATTGGATGTTTTTTATTATTCTCAGTGAAAGGGACAATAGCTCACACTGTAATTCCATTTTTTCTCCAGTGGAAGTATCTTTTGAATTTGGAAAATATTTCCCTTTAAAAAAAGACACTAACAGAAGCACAAACACACTTCTGCCATTGCCACTGCTGCTGCCATCAGCATGTGAGGAGGGTACTGTGCCCCAGGAAAGAAAGAAAGAAAAGTAGTTTCCCTCCAAAATCATAGCATTGAGTAAGAGCTAAGAACTCTCCATGTCACCCTCCGGACTGCCTGCCACCTCCAGGGGTCATCTGACCGCTCCCAAGTGGTCCGTGACCCCTCAGGCTGGCTGCCCATTTGAACGTCGGGGGGAGGTCTCCCTCCACTCCAGACTCCACTGCGCTCGGCCTGCCTGCCCCGGAGCGTTTCCTGGGAGGCCCCGGTGCGGCGGGAGTTGCTCCGCCAGGACCAAGAGGCAGGGTTCTGGTGCCCACTCTGTCCTCGGGAGGGTCTAACCTTGGACACGTGAGTTAAGCTCTCGGAGCTCTGGCTCTGACACCTGTGAAGCAAGTGTGAACTGTGGGACCTGTAAGGTCCCCGGGTCTCTCTTTACCACGTGACCCAGAATCTTGACCTTCACTTTCCACTGTTAGACTGACAGCTACTCTGCTGGGCAATGGCCGCCCACTGAGCCGTCGTGTCCCCCGATAACGTGATGTGGCAGGAGCTCTGTGCTGCCGCCACACTGTGGGACACCTCCCTCTCCAGGGAGCAGATCTGAGGATGAGGGAGCAAGAGCCACACCATGAAGGAGGTCGGTTTGGAGCTTTATTGTTCTGTAACCAGAATGTTCTCGAGTGTCTGCACTTTCACTGTTAACACGGAAACATGTTTCCCCATCACTTACAACAGACAACCGACCACTGCGGCTGCAGAGGCGTTTTCCTTCCTTCTGGAACTCTCTAGCCGTCTTAGAGCCCTCACAGCAGTGAAGCCAGGGGACCCTGGGAAACTTGTGCAGGAAGAAAAGTTTTATTTGGTGGCAAAAGCCGTTACCTTTGGATATCAGCCTTTTTCTATTTTCTTTCTCTTCAGAGCTCGTTCCCATGTTCACTGGCAATTCTAATGTTTTTTCTCAATCACATGGCTCTTTCCTGTTTTTCCCAGGCGCCTGTACATTTTGGAAGAGCCCAGGCCCCTTAGAACAACCTGGGGGAGTTTCCCTCATGAACTCGAGACAGGTTGACTCCACCGACGTTGGTCCAGCTCTCCCAGCCCCGTGGCTGGTCGTCCAGGGGTCAGCCGGGGACAGCGGCTTCTCCGGCCCCCACGCCCTCGCCCCTCTCGGATGGGGCCTGTTGGGGCTGAGAGCTGCGTCTGCAGTGGTCTCCAAGCGTGTTTATATGAGCTCCTCCGGTCCAGGCGAGCCCTCTTCATGCTGAGGGAGCCCATCCCATGCCTCTTCCCCAGGGGGGTTCCTGGTGGCCTCCTCATAGGAGGGCGGTAAACCCTCCGAGAAGGCAGAGCCCGGGAAGCCAGGCTCGCTGCTCCAGGGTGAGCCCGGCAGGAGGTCAGCCTCCTCTCTGGCCGGTGGGTGCTCTGGGAGGTCGATGCTGAAAGCCTGCCCCTGGGGCCGGGAGGCCCTGCAGCGTCGGAGCAGGAGAAGCAGCAGAAAGGCCAGGAGGAGCAAGCCGGCGGCTGGAAGAAGGATGCACAGGAAGGGCTCCACGTCTTCCCTGGCGGAACTTCCCCTCTGGGTGCCCTGGGGTCAGGGAAGGACACTGAGTTAGGAGACGGGCAAAGCAGACCCCTGCCTTTCTGAGGCCCATCTTTGTCCTCACCTTTTCTTCTTCTTATTGTTACTCACCTAAAAATCACTGCAATCATTCATTTATGCCAGTGAGCTTGAGCCTACGTGAAACGAAGTGAATTTACATGAAGTATGAATTCAGAATGTCAAAAGCACATGTTGATGGTATCCTATGATATTTCCACTCAAGTAAAAATATTAGAACAAGTTACAGGTGGAAGCCCACCACTCATGCTTGGAATGAGAACTCTTACTATTTATGTGCTTATTTTATTTAGCAGTAGACCAGTGATGGTTTATTGCCACAAAACGATCCTACGGAACTTAAGTTCTTTAATTCTGGAAGGAAGTCTGCCATTGGTATGTGTTCATATGACACATAAAATCTTAAATCTGAGTTGGTAGCTGACGCTTCTGGTGAATGAGATCTTAAAATTCCTTCAATATTTTTTTGCAATTTGTAGGATCAATATGGGAAATTTTGAACTCTTTAAAGAAAAAAAATTGCAGGTAAATTGTTAAGCAACCTAAAAGATACTGATTTTATAGTGTTAGCTCACAAGGTAATGGTGGTTCCTGATGGAGTAAATAATATAACAGGCACGAAGTGACGCTTCAACAGCAAGGCAGAAAAGCAACAGGAAAAATAAATACTGTTCCAAATTGCATAGATATGGCTTTGAATGAAGCTACTAAGGAATAACGAAGGGGCCAGCCCCGTGGCCGAGTGGTTAAGTTCGCGTGCTCTGCTTCTGTGGCCCAGGGTTTCACGGGTTCGAACCCTGGGTGCAGACACGGCACCGCTCATCAAGCCATGCTGAGGTGGCATCCCGCATGCCACAAGTAGAAGGACCCACAACTAAAAATATGCAACTATGCACCAGGGGGCTTTGGGAGAAAAAGGAAAAATAAAATCTTTAAAAAAAAAAAATGAAGTATTGAAAAGCTTCTCTGCTATAAAGCACACAGCACCAAATGTAGATGGCAGTGTCCACTACAGAGGAAAAGAAAAAATTAAAGCCTTATAATTGTTTAAAACAAAGTATTAAGCTCTTTACTGATGTAAAATAAAACTTATAATAAGAAAACTATGAGAGCTGGGGTTCTCACCTTGATTTTGGTGGAAAGAATAAATGTTTTGCTGGTCATGACTTTTACTTAAGAGACTGGCTCACCTGGCATTGTTTGCATAATCTTTTTTACTTCCTAAAGAATTTATAACTGTGTGTGTTATTGTGGCTCAAAATTAGGTGGTTTATTTAATAATTATAGTGCCAGATATTTCGTCCTTGGTAAGATATAAGTCAAGACATTAGCTTAAAATGCATAAAAATTAAAGGTTTTCTTGGGAAGCAGGGCGTCGTCTTTGGGGTTTGAAGCTCTTTCTTTGAATTACAGAACAACCTTCCAAAACCTGTGTGACCTTGGACCTTTCACTTGCCCCTCCAGGCCTGGGCTTTCTCTCTATGAAATGAAAATGACATCTTTTTCAGAGGGTTGGCATGAGAATTTAATGAATTAACGTGTGTAAAGCTCTTGGTGAATAATAGGTATTTATATATTTATATCTCAGGGACACAAAAGGTCACATTTACTAGAAAATAAAATGTTAAAGATAGCCAGAAGAAGTCTAGAAATTTACTGAAAAGGCTGGAAAATACAGTAACAAAATCTGCATTACTGGGTTTATATTTTAATAAATATGTATTTTCAGAAAAATATTTTAGCAACATTAATATATTTTATGTGTGTGATTGTTATATTTCTAATCCGTGGATTCTTTGTTTTCTCACACATAATCTAGTTTATTATCAGAACTATTGACTTAAAATCTGTTGTGATGTAATAAGCGACTTTGATTACAAAAACTATGAGGATGATAAACTCCTACATAAATCTACAATTATTAAGAAATCAACTGGGAGCCAAAAAGCAGTTTAACTACGTTTGTTTTCTCCCTCTAGATGCATCACCAACAACCACCCTCCAACCGTGGTCACCGCGGACCATTTTGCAATAGCTTATGTTCCTCCATCAATAACGTGGATGAATATAGTTTCTGAACAGTGGTGGGTATCAAATTTTAAATATTCTATTATACCCCGTAAATTCAATGTGCATAGAATATAAAGATACTTAATGTTCCATTTAAAAGGTTTTACGTAATAGACCCTATTGTCTACAGTTTGCCACTTAAGGTGTTTTCAGTGTTAGTTGCAGAGATTTGTGAAAGGAGAGATGCCACAGCCCCTCCTGTAACTGGCACTTCTTTCTGTCGGGTTAAATTTGTCTGAATATCGCGTGGCGCTAGAAGACTCGTCTAACACAGAAGATTAGGGTGCTTTCTGGAGATCAAGAACTCTCCCTGTTTTCCAGTTAAGAGATGCACGGGGCTATGGGACAGAGTTATAATGGTGTCCTTAATTTGCTCATTTAATGATTCAAGACATAGTGGTTCAAATTGTTCTGGAATTTTTAATGCAAGAAAGATGTCTTTAGTCAAATGTTCTAACTTGTTCACTTCCATCAAAGTCGTTTCTCAACATTTACTGTTTCTCTGATGTGTGTATTGACTTAAGGGTTTGTTTCTCAGGGAATATTTTAAAGAAATATCCAGTTAAACGTGTAACTGCTGAAGGATATATCATCTCTATATATGTATATAATTATTTTTTGTAAAAGGCAGTTTTGAAGAACTTAAATGCCAATCTCACCAGCTTATTTTTCCAGACAAGAAGAAAATAGGTTTGTTTCCATCTTTCTTGTGGGGCAACAGCATCTCTCATTTCCCTTGTGATTCTAAAATTAATTCTGAGTTCTTAGGTTTCTACAAATATTTTCCCTCAAAGCTGACTCAGACTGAAGCTTCTCTGGCGATTCCCAGACAAAGCCAGGAGCAGCTGCACATGTTGGTGAGAGACAAACCTTCTCGAACCCCTGCCACTGCGACGTGAGACCCTTGCTCCCCTGACTTAGACGCAGGGGTCCCCGTACAGCCGAACCCCAGGGAGGGTCTTGCTTTTGAATATGTGGACACTGCTTCTTGAGCAACAGCAGAGCTGTACAACCAAGCAGGAAAATGTGTTGGTTCCTAGCTTCAGATGTTGTTTGATAGATTTGACATATCAGGTGTTCTTAGAATATATTTGTGGCAAGTTTTACTTGAATTTATCATTGTCAAAAGAATACAACTTTCAAATTACTTCCTCAGGCAATGCCCATCAGTGAATTCATATTTTTGTTGTACCCATAATGCAAAATGTTGCCACTAGGTTTTAAGACCCTAAAAATATAGACATTGTTGGTTTGAAAGCTGAGAAAGCTACTTTGGGGAGTAAAAGCATAAGTCTTAGGTACAGACCTGCAGCTGGGTTTCCGGAAAAGGCAGGCTCGGTTCGCTGGTTAACCATTCGTATGTCCCCCGGCCGGCATGCCCAAACTTCCTCCAGCTGCTGCCCTGCAGCTGCCGCATGTTTTTGTCCAACAGAGGCGCCCCCGGCCTGTCCACTCACTGACCGGATTTCCACAGCGCTGCCTGTTCTTGGCCTGGCTCCAGCTTGGACGTGCTTGGCTGGTGGCTGCTGGCAAACTCCTGCTCTGATGAGAGGCCACAGGGAAAGACACCACCGAGAGAGACCTCTCAGGACCGACTATTCAAATTCAGCATCTCTGGATTTGTTGCTGTGGCCGTTATCACCATACGGATTGGCCTGAGACATGAGATATGGAGCGGGTCTCGGACGGTGGAGTCTGTGTTTGCATCATCGCATGCGATGGACGGTCGCAGTGAACAGAGCTGTTTGTATTTAGATGTAAAGAAGACCCTTCCCACCTCCCTCTCCAGAGACAGAGCTGAGCAAGAGAAACTACTCAAGCTGAATTTCCTTTGATTGTTTCTGGATTCTATGGTTCAGAGAGAAGAGGCATCTGGTAGAGAAGCAGGACTCATTAATAACGTTTTAGTGAATTATTTAGAAGAAGGATGCTAATGATAAAGTTGTACAGAAGCCAGAGAGACAATGGAGCCGATCATTTGGATGGAAGTTTGCTGGTTTCAATTGAAACAAGAAATCGAATTACCAGTACCGAAATAGTCTTTCTCCTGATTATCTTGTGAACTTTATGAAATTATTTGTATGAAGCTTAAAATGAGAAACTTTCCATTTGAATGTTTACTGGGGTAACTTCGGGATGTTTAACTCTGCGCATTTATTGGGAATTTAACATTTAAGCCCTGGCCGTGGGATTCTTTCTTTCAGTGGAGTAAACTTCAGCTTCAAACATTTACTGGAAATGTTACAACTCAATATTGCAACTACTCACGTCCTTATTAAGCATCATTTCATTCAAGTGAACGTCATGATGCTGAAATAATATTTAACTGGGATTTTTCCTTAGGATTCTCCATCCCTGGCCCGTGGCAGTCTGTGGACAGGATGCAGGGTTGTTGCACTCTCTAAACTTTGTAGACCAATTTTCTTGGGAGGATCGTAATTTTCATCACCTTTCCAAAGACAGCTGGTCTCCCCAGGGGAATCTGGCACTTTGTCAAACTTCTTATTTCTGGTCCAAGTTTTCACTGTTTCCCACAGCCTCAGTCAGTGTCTTAGTGTGGAGCTCATCATTGCACCCTTTTATTTCTTATTGTGGGGTACACTGACTTTGTGCTTTAGTTGCAATGTTGCCTTGTTCCATGGATGAGTCCTGTTTTAAATCCATCCTGTATCCCCACACGGGAAGCCCCTGGCCTCCAGGGCTCCATTTCCCTTTCTCGCGTGTCAGTGGCTCTGTCAACACTACGTCCTCGGCAGGGGCCATCCTTCTCTACCTGTCTGCTCATTTAAATACCTTCATTTCTTGAGAAGCAAATTGGAAGTCTGGATCAAAAGCATTAAACATGCATCTGTAACAATGATCCACCTCCAGCAGTGAATAAATCAGACAAAAATTCCTGGTTTTGTGGATATGTTTTTGGGGACCAAGAGAAACAAGCAAACTACACAAAATATACAATATATCAGAAGGTGAAAAATGCTATGGAGAAAACACAGGGAGGGAACAGAGTAAATGCTGAAGGGTGGGGACACTTTCAAAGGGGGACGTCAGTTAGGACCTCAGCGGGAAAGGGATGTTTGTGCAAAAAGCTGGAGGAGGGGCCGGCCCTGTGGCCGAGTGGTTAAGTTCACCCGCTCTGCTTCGGGGGCCCAGGGTTCGCCAGGGTTTCGAGGTTCAGATCCTGGGTGCGGACATGGCACCGCTCATCAGGCCACGTTGAGGCGGTGTCCCACATGCCACAACTAGAAGGACCCACAACTAAAAATATACAACTATATACTGGGGGGATTTGGGGAGAAAAAAAAAGCAGGAGGGAAAAAAAAAAAAGATTGGCAACAGTTGTTAGCTCAGGTGGCAATCTTTAAAAAAAAAAAAAAAAAAGCTGGAGGATGCAGGGGAGTGAGCCATGCAGACATCAGAGGGAAGAGCGCTGTGGACCAAGGGTACAGCTGGTGCAAAGCCCCTGAGGTGGTCACATGCCTGGCAAGTGCTCTGGATGGCGGGTGGGTCAGGGTGGCTGGAAAATAAGCCAGGAGAAAAGTAGGAGTTTAGGTCAGAGAGGGCGTGTGGGAGGCAGTAGGTGGCACAGGGTGCGGGGTTTGTGGAGCATTGTGGGAGTTTTGGCTTTTCCTCTAAGTGAAGTGGAGGAGCCATCCAGAGTTTGCAGCAGAGGAGTGACCGTTTACAAGGATCATTCAGGCCCCTGTGTGCGGTTAAGGGCAAAAGCCGGGAGACCAGCTGGGGCTCTGCGATCAGTGCAGGGAGAAGAAGAGCAGGGGAGAAGCGGAAGAAGTTGTGAGGTTCTGGACCTATTTTAGGACAGAGCCAACAAGGCTTCCTGCAGAACCCAAGGTGGTGCAAGATGCAGAAAAGATCAGGAGGGGCTCGTTTTCAGGCTGGAGCAGCTGGAAGGATGACTGCTGTCATGCACACAGACAGGGAGAGACCATGCGGGCAGGTTGCTTTGGCTTTTTAAGCAGGAGTAAGGATCAGGAGCAGAGTTTTGGACACGGTAAGTTTGCAATTTGTGTGAGTTTGGACATTTCGATTTGGGGTTTGGGAGTCAGGACCAGACCACAGACAATAGACGTAATGAGATCACCAAGAAAATGAGTATTGATGGCGTAGGGGGACAGAGTGAGTGGCCAGTGAAGTGGAAGAGAGGCCCGGAGTGTGGGGTGTCCTGGAACCCAAGGGAAGAAGATATTTCTAGAAGGAGAGAATGACCATCTATCTCAAAGGCTCCTGTACCGTCAAGTAAGACGAATGACATTAGCTATGGATTTAGCAAAACAGTGGGGAGGGGGTGTCTCTGCCTGTTGGGACAAGAACAGTTTAGTGGAGTGTTTGGGGAAAAGCCTGATTGGGGCGTTTTTTGTTTTTTTTTGCTTGAGGAAGATTGTCCCTGAGCGAATATCTATGCCAGTCTTCCTCCATTTTTCATATGTCGGATACCTCCACAGCGTGGCTTGGTGAGCGGTGTGTAGGTCCGTGCCTGGGATCGGAACCCGAAGACCCCAGGCCGCTGAATCAGAGCGCGCAGAACTTTAACGACTCGGCCGTGGGCTGGGCCCATGGGGCACTTTTAAGAGAGAAAAGGAGGACGAGACCCACAGTGGTGAAAGTAATCGACTCCTGAGCTGCTTTGCTTGAAAAGGGATCAAAGAAACGACATAGTCGCTGGGGAGAGGAGCAGAGTCAAGAGCGTCATACACAAAAGCAGAGTGAGTTAATGGTTTACGGGGAACGGAGAGCATCAGGAGACGTCAGCCGTCAGCAGTCCTACCTCTGGGAATTCCTCCCACAGAAACGCGCTGACGAATACTCGCAGAGATGTGTTTTTGAAAGATGTTTTAACACATCTTAAATGTCTATAATAACAAACAACTGGAAATAAAATCCACAAATGATAGTAGGTTAATAAGTTAAGATATATACATAGAAAGAGATACTATAATCTGAGAATAAATACCAGAAAGATGTAGACATTCACCACATATTAAGAGCAACTTGTTGGATAACTGCACGTTTATTGCAAATTTACGTGCCTCTGTATATAGAAAAAAAGTCAGTGTTAACAATGGCATTTTTTCTAAGTAGTGGGATTACGAGGTTTTTTATGGGACTATGGTTTTCCTTTTTGCTGATCAACATTTGTAACTTTTTTATGAGTATGTGTTATATAAACAGGACATAAGTTTCCAAGATTTGCCATCTTTGAAGGCCCACGTGAAAGCCACCTGTTGTAATATTCCGCAATTTCCTTCCCTCCACTGAAATTGGAAATGAATCAGAATTTCCTCTGAATCCTCACAGCGAATTAGTTATTCAATGTTATAGCACTTATCTGAGTCAGCTGTATTCTATTGCAAAAATAAGTTAGTTAACTCATGAAATGGTGTGTGTGACTCCTGACGCACGGGGATGTGCTCGGCCCTTGGACCCAGCAGCCTGCACTCGCGGTAACGGCTTGCCGAGCTGCTGCGGTATTTCAGCTCCAGAAGTCACACCTGGTGGACCGCAGCCGAGAGTCTTTCCTGAGCCCTCCGTTGTGGATGCTCCTTGTTGTTTCTCCCCACACCGACAGGCAGAGCACATTGTTCCCGCGGGCTTCTCGGCGAAGATCGTTCTGCTCAGGACCCCAGGCAGTCTGAAAGTCAGACTACTACCTCTAAACTTCTGAGTATTTTAGAACTGAGGAGAGGAGAGTCTTTCCATGTTCTACTGAATTCTCTCACTTCTCTTTATCTCTTTAAATTGGCTTGTCTTCACCCATTTGATTGCTCTGTTTTTTCTTAATGCCCTTGAACTCAACATTGTTAATTTGCTATTATATTTCAAGAAGTGCCAAGACGTCGAGGTTTTCTGGTTCTACTGGTTTGTAGACCACTGGACATGGGGAGTTTGGTTTTGTTGTTGCACGTTGCATCTTCTGCCCACCAATGGAGAAAAAGTCCCTGAAAACTGATGGTCGGGGAAGATTGAAATGAACTAAAGATGTGGGTAAAATGTAGGGTCTTTTTCCATATTTAATTTCTAAACTAGTAAATGCATTTGAGCTTTAGCAAACTGGTCAGTGCACTTTCTCAAGATGCTATTACAAGAATTAAATAAGCGTCTATTGGATTAGGATGGCTGAAATCAGAGGTCGGCAGGCAGCGCTGTGACGAGTCACAGCCCAAAGCCGGTCCAGGAGCCCCAGGGTCACCTAAAGTTCAGCAGATCTGGCCTTGGTTTTGTTGGACTTTGGCCTGATAATCTGGAAGAAAAGAGATACAAACAGTTTGACTAAATCCACTAACAATAGGGACTGAAAGAGGAAGCTCCAGAACGGTTTTTAAACCAAGCAAGTGTGCCAATAAAAAATAAAATTATTGATACGGAGTTTACTAGAAAAATATGAGCAGTTATGGAACT